AAAAACCATCGATTTCTCTGACTTTACCTGTTGATTTTAGAAATTGGGTGTGTGGCAGAAGTAGGTGAGGGGAGGATTTTCAAGTCTCCATCTATGTCTTGAAAACTACACACCCTTTTAACCCTAATTATGATTATAAAAAAATATATATATTTATTTTTATCGTTATTTTACATCGCTTCGACCCGCTTAGGATATACTGCGATGATGATCAAACTTCAAAATGGTCAGATCGCACCATTCTACTCGGCCGGGATTTGAACTCGGAACCTTTCGCATATGAGGCAACGAACTTACCCCCTGCGCCAAGCCACCTGTAAAAAAAAATATATGGAAGAATCAAATACCAGTTAAAAAATTTCATCTGATGGCTCATTTTGGAAAATAGGTGCATGATCGCAGCGCCTAATTTGACCCTAATGGCTTGTTTTAAGATGGAATTGTGGCGGAGGGGGAAACCACTGACCTTTCCGATCGCACAGCTTATCTGGAAAATGCGGTGCGCGGATTGGGGGGGGGGAGAATTTTCAACTTGTTCAAGTAGGAATATTGTAACCCTTCTGACTGAGGATTGAAGTGCTGATTATCCAGAGTCCGAAAAATTGTACAATATGTCGCGGAGATTGGGAGAAAATGGGACGTTTTGTAATCTCTTTTATTTATCACTATCTTGGATGATGAATGAGATTGTTCATTAGAAAAATGTTGACCGAATGTGTTTTACATTGAATTCAGTATTCATTTTTTTTCCAGGCCGGTTCGGCAATTCTACAACGAGATAGCCGCAGTCGACATTTCTATTAATTAAATAAATAATTATCACAACATCGACTTTTTTCTTCTCTCGTTGGCTTCCCAGGGGTTCAACGAATCTCTGAAAAAATTGACGAGTAAAAAAAATTTTTTTTCGTATTGTTATCCCCCAAAAGTGGAGCATAATTATCCAACTTATTTCACAATGTGCCAATATAAGTGGCACACATTGTGAAATACAAATATAATATTAAGCAATTACTAAACAATTGGGAATATACGTGCAATCATGTATCACGTATATTCGCAATTAAAAGTAAGCCAGTGGAACTCGCATCAGCAGTTTCCACTGGGCTCATTCGCATGGTGTTATCATTACACCATGCAGATATGAGGTAATGACCACGACGTCATGGGCTCTCGATCAAATAAATACTCGAGAGACCATTGTCTCGGGGCCAGTAACTCGATTCCTATTGCGGTTCACCTGATACCTTCCGTATCAGTCTGAACACTTGAATGGTATCTAAAAAGTAAGAAATTAAATAAAGAATATTATTATAGTATTCGTTCGCGAGTGTCTTAATCTTCCAAATTACCGAACCCAACCGCTCGGGACTCTAACATTTTGGTGGCAGCGTTATTTATTTT